ATGTATATATATATATATATATATATCTCCTCCGGTGAGGATTAACCAAAAAAAAAGAGAGAGACTCAGTTATTAGAGAGGCTGGGTTTTTAGGGACTGACCCTGTAGGTCAGTTCTGACTTACCTCTCTCTTACCATGTTTTCTCCCGGTTTTACAGTATATCATTACTTTGTGGACATTATAACTTGGAATAAGAACATAAGAAGAGGGTCCATTACAATCAGATTGAGAGACAAAGCTGGAAACACCACAGAATCCAAAATCAATCAGTAAGTTGGGCTGGGATAGTTTGTAGTTTGCTATTTTCCTTTTTGCTCAGAGAAATTAAATCCCAAATATAGCTATTTTCTTACTTATATGTCTGTACTTTTCTTTATTCTACAAAAGACATAAGGGGACATATTGTTTAATTGCTTCCTGTGGCTCTTGATCTCCCAGACTCTTTACAAATGGAATTGGTGCAAGGATTACCACTGCCTCCCTTCTTCCCTCCTTTCCTTCCTTCTTCCCCCTCCCCCCCTCTTTCCCTCCCTTCCTTTTCTCCCTCTTCTCCTTCCTTCCTTTGTTCAAACATTTAATTACAAAAGTCATCTTTGCTTGCTGTAAAGAATTTAAACAGTAAAGGAGTATGTAAAATAAAGTGCAACTTTTTGGTCCATCCCAACAATCCCACCTCCATAGGCACCCAGCCCCATACACATATTTCTATTCTTTTATGAGCTCATACTATACATACACATACTTAAGTATATATATATACACACACATATGTAAACATATGTGTATGTTTTTGAAACTCAGAAAATATAACTTGCAATAGAAAATTGGAAACACCCTAAAAATCCCCAAATGAGGAAATGGTTAATTTGGATATTCCCATATAATAGAATACTATTTATACATTGAGGTTATTTATGAAATATATTAAATGACATGCTTATAATATACTAAGTGAAAAACTTCAGGATATCAAATTATATTAAGTATAAAGAACTCAACATGTATTACCTATATATAAAGTTTTAGCTTAACAATATAAAAAAATGAAATAGAAATGCCACAATATTAGATTGCCCCTTGAGTGGTGGAAATGATCGCTTTTTCTCAGCTTCTCTTTACATTTTCAATTTTCTATATATTGTGTGTATGTATTATATATATGTATATTTATATATATTCTTTAACAATAGCTAATTAATATTTTTTTTCATCTATTAGTTTCACAATCGAGAAAAAGAAAAAATACACCCAAAACTTTGTAAGCAAAGGAACTTGAGGCTCATTTTATTCATTTACTCAGGAAATGTTTCCTGGATCTTACTGTCTGCTAGGCATTTGGGTTGTCTCTTGGCCTCACCCACAGAGGACCAAGTAGAATGTCATCTGAAACTGGCAATTGCCTTTCGGGTTCACTGCGCACATAGAGACAGTGTGGGTGGGTGGTTTAGAGATCAAATTTTTTAATGCATCCTTGGATAATAATAATAATAGCTTCATTTATTGAAGTAAGTGTGTCACACACACAACGGCTAATGCAATTCTCGCTAAAACTCTGTGAAGTAGTATTACCATCTCTCTTTTATATATTAGGAAACTGAGGCTCAGAGTGGTCAAACGATTTGGCCAATATCACACAGCTGGCTGGTCAGGGCGAATCAGGTGAAGTCAGAGGCAGGTCTGTCCAACCCCAAAGCCCATAGTTTTAATCACTATATTATATTCCTCCCACTAAGCTGTATTGCTCCCTCTAACCCACTATACTTAGAATTTGCGAGTAGTGGGGTTCTTGGGAGTTCTTCACTGATCTGTTTCAGAGACCTCACTACAGTGTCAATGTCCCCAAACCCGCAGTGGGGCAGCATTTTCAGGGAGGGCACCACTAGGCATAGCACATCTTGAGGAATCAGCCTCAGGTGGTTTCTGAGCTGTGACCTCGGTGAGGAAGCAAGGCAGAGACCCCACCTGGGGATTCTAGGAAACAGCAGGGGGATTGTGCAGTTATATACGGGGGAGTGTTCACCTAGCAGACTATGAGTATTCATGCCAATATTGGTTACGTATTTGCTTTACATGTCTAAGAAGCTTTAATTTTACATAGTAAATTTCTCCCAAGTAGGAACTCTTAAATTTGGAGTTTTTAAAATCTTGATGATGATAGAGACCTTAACATCTCTATTTTAGTCATGTTTAATCATTTTCATTTTAGTCATGTTTATGAAAAAGTCACCACCAATCAGAGAATATATGGGAATAAAAAGAAATAGTTGTTTTATTATGTGGGAGATAATGGCTACTTTTTTTGCAAGGTAAACTTTGATGTCTTAGTATTTTTTTTACAGTTTAAGGTAAAGGAAATGATATTAGAGTATGTACTTTGAGTTTATCCAATTTTACCAGACTGTGGGTGCAAATGGAGTCACATTCAAGGTTATTATCTGCCTGATGACTCTTCCTATATTCATGTTTTTGGTGTATTTCTTTTTTTTAACCTTTTAAAAATTGAGATATAATTCACATACTATACAATTTATTTTTTAAAAGCATCTGTTTCCTTGTCTGTGAAATAAAGATAATAATACTCATCTTGCAGAAGTTTTCAGGGGACTGGAGACATGTGTCGAGAGTTGAGGATGCTGCCTGGCATATAGTGGCACAGTACATACCTCTCTGAAGTCACAGCATTTCATTAGTCCTGGGGTCAGCAGTCCTTGGGAATCCAGTGCACTTTGCCCATGAAAATCGGCTATTGCAGGCTATCGAGTCAAGCAGCTACCTGCTTACTGATTTGTAAGCTTCAGAACTCTTTTCTTTCACTAGCAATCTATATCCATTTAAAAATATTATTTCTTCCTTCTAGTGAACCTGCAACATTTCAGAAATACCACCAAGTGAGTTTGCTTGCAAGATTTAATCAAGATCTGGATAAAGTGGCAGCCATTTCCTTGGTGTTCTCTACAGGATCTGTAGTAGGCCCAAGGTACAAGCTCAGGATTCTCCGAATGAAGTTAAGGTCCCTTGCCCATCCAGACAGGTGAGCCATACACAGGCAGGGTTTGACAAGCCCCTGTTACCCAAAGACGTTGTTTGTTTTTGTCCAGTCTGCTTGGTCTAATGCTATAATTGGACTTCATCAATCACAGTGAAGGATGTGAGGGGTTTTCCAAAAATAGACTTGATAAAAACAAGTAGCCCAGCAATCCAAGAAAATTTTACTGGTATGCACTTGAAGATAAATGGCCCAGTTATCCAAAGAAATAATGTTATATGTTTAGAGTTATACAATTCCTCCCTAACCACTCTACCCACATTGCTTTGCAAGTTGATAACTTCTTGTAGAAAAGAAAGCCCTCATCTAATTCAGCAAACTGATAGAACAGGGCCTAGTATAAAAAATGGTACAGAAAAATTGGAATATTGTACTCCATTGACACAGTATGAAAGTACTATATCGATGTTAAATTTGATAACTGCACTGAGAATATCCTTGTTCTTAGGAAATATACACTGAAGAATTAAGTGGTAAATGACCTATTCTCAACTGGTTCAAAAAAAGTAAAAAACAACTTGTGTGTTTGTGTGTGCATGTGCATATGTGTGAGTGCGTGTGTGTGTGCGTGTGTGTGCATGTGTGTGTGTGTGTGGAGAGACAGAAGCAAAGGAGATGAAAAAGCCATGATGGTATGTATGTTTTGTTACTAATGCCACATAGAGTCCTATCATCTAATCCATGGATAGAGAGAGACAGGAAGTGATGTGAGCAGTTAGTACTTTATAAATTCCTTTTCCCTGAAGGTTTAGGGTATCCTAAAACAATACAAGTCTCTTCTAAGAGGAGAGTCATTACATCTTAAAACTGTAGGACTTTTTAAGACTTTTTTCTCTGATTACCAAAGGAATACACGTTCATTTTAAAAATTTGGGAAGTACAGAAAGTGTTAGGAAACAGAGAGACATCACCCATAATGTCATTATTCAGAGGCAAACACTGTTAATATTTTTGGTTATTTCTTTCTAATCTGCTTTCTATTCCTGTTTTGAAACCTAGCTGAAGTTATGTGTCAAATAAACTTTGACATCCTGCTTTCTTGTTTTCATTGTTACTTTACTTAGCTACCATAGGCATTTTTCTATAACATTGGAAATAATTGCTAAATCATTTTATAGCCTAAGGATATAATACAAGTTATTTGACTAGAATCGGGTGTTTTTATTATTTTATTGATAAGAATATTTTGTCCTATTTTTACAGGCCCCACTTGTGTCGGTATGACCTTGTACTGATGGAAAACATCGAGACAGTCTTCCAACCTATTCTTTGCCCAAAGTTGAAAATGTAATTGTTGTCAGGACACATGAGCACCTCTAACATCAAGAAAGCGACGGCAGGCTTTTTCAAAGCTTCACCTTTTTTACCTTTTCCTCGAGGCACAAAAAGTATGGAATAACCAGGGTTTTTTCCAGTAGTGTCTTATGGATGTCACTACAAAATGTCAAACAGCTTTGGATTATAGAACAGTCCTGGGAAGGGAGCCCCTAAGTAGGGCAAGTCGGAAATAGCCAGGCCCCAGGCAGCCCAGGGCCCTGTCTGGCTGCGTCCTGGGGCCTCCTTTGTTCCACCCTGTGATTCTGCTCCCTGTCACTCAGGCAGTTCAGTGGGACAAGCATCTTACAGGGAAGGACTGGCTGCAGACCTCACTTTGGACTCGACCTCACGTTCCCTGTGCCATATTCCACCAGATCCCCGCGTGGAGAAGGGAACGAAGACTGACCTACCTCACAGGGCTGTTGTGTGGGTCTGGGAGGCAAGTTTGTGAAGGGTTCTTTGAAATCCCACGGGTGCCACATCCGTGAGTGGTTTGATAAATGTGAATATACTTTTATTTATTTTGATATGACTTATCTAATAATGCAATAAGAGAGCTGCTCCTTATCAACACCAGCTTCTCTCCTGGGCTGTTTGCTTTGGGAAGGCAAGAAAGCCAAGCCCCTGGCTTCCCACCTTGTTTAAAGTGGGGAAAATGCTTATTTTCCCTTATTTGCTAATGTAATCCATGATTATTGAAGGCAATTTAGAAAATGCATAGGTGCAAAATGGATACATGCTATACGCAATCCCAGCGTTAGAGGTGTTGAATGTTAATCTTCTGGAATAGTGCAAAATAACTTGTGTCTCTAACCTGTGAATTCAAAGCACAAACCACTTTGCTCTCGGAGCACCGGAAGCCTCCAGTTTGAGGAGATCTTAGGCTTCCCGAGAACTATGTGCGATCATGAATCTGGAATGACTACAGCAGCCAGGCCAAGAGGCCCAGAGGGCCAAGGCCAGAGAGGCCAGAACCAAGGGAGGAGCATCTGTGGGGCCAGATGCCCGGTGCGGGGACAGAGCCAAAGGGGTGAGCACCACGCTTCCCACGGCTGTGGCCACTGTGGGAAGGTTTCTGTGATTCCTGAGTGTCACAGGCCCAGTGACTTCTACTGCTTTCTGTGAGAACAACCCTTATTTTAAAGAACTGGACTCTCTATTTCATAAATTATAGAATTCTGTGAATATATTCCTGTGTGGCACGTTTTTATATATGTAATACAGAGTTTTTCACCTAAGTGACACATGCCTGTAGTGAATGGCCAAACCCAAAGGAGTAAGTCTCAGCGACGGGCCTGCCCACTTGGACGTTTTATCACCCCTCTTCCTCCTTCCCACATTTCCTCAGCTGCTGTGGCTGGAGGTCAGCATGGTGTAGGCCCTGATTTTCTTCTAGGGTTTCATTTGTTCTGCATTCTGATTGGCACAGTCACTTCATGCTCCTTTCCTTGCCTGGTAGGCAGTGGGTCAAAGCAATAGCAGGAAAGTGACAGGAATAGCATTTCTGTCGTTTATAAACTCCTCAGGCCAGTGGGTGCCCCTCAGCTTCTCCTCTTGGTGTCTCCTAGCTCGGCACCTGGCTCACCGCGGACCGGTTGGATGAGTGAACGAACTGGTAAATGAGTAACGGAAGGAAGGAAGTTTGTTCACTGGAGTGGAGATGGATTTCAATGAGTTTCATCTAACAGTGAGCAGGAGAAATGAAGGCAGTTACAAGTGTGACCACTCTCTTCTCAGAACCTTTCTCCCAGGGCTCCTGGAAGCTTCACCTCTGTCTCTTGTTATCCTGGCTTCTCCTCCCTTCTCTTTGTCAGTGCATCTGTCTGAATCCCACATCCAAGGTGCAGTCTACCCTCTTCCCTACCTTCTGCACTAATTATCTTCCACTTAGTGTGTGGCTCTTAGCTCAGTTGTCGCTTCCTCCGGGGAGTCTTCTCGGACCTCATTTCCCGTGCAGCACACGGGACTTCTCCTTCGTAGCACTTTTTTAAGTTGTATTTTTGTACATTTATTTGTAGGATTATTTGTTTAATGTCTATTTTCTCCTCTAGACTGTTCTGCAAGGCAGGAGCTGGGTACATAATGTGGTGCCTGCACTCAGGAAATACAATATTTATTAAAAGAACACTCCCCATTATTTTGTGAGCCTTATGGAACCATGTTCAGTTGTAAGCAAAGACCTCCCCTCCCCCAGCCATAGCCCATTTCCCTGGAGACACCTGCCCTTCTTTTTGACCAACTTCTCCCCTAGACACATTTGTTATTATTGTCTCCATTATCTCTGGAAGCCCGTAGCTCACTTCTTAGGCCCCTTGGGAAAAAGAGAGGTTGTCCCCCTTCCTGCCTCCCACCCCTTTGAACCTTCCAAATGTTCCCAACACTGTTCTGCAGCATGCCCACCTATCCGGAAGCCTGGGAGATTTTGCTGTCCCCAGTTTTAGTGCCTTAGCTAAAACCCTCCAGGACCCTTCAACATTCCTGGATGACTCCAAATTGTGGTTCAAAGATCTCCTTGCTTGTTTTTCCAGGATGCCCTTCCCGCCCCC